TAGATTTTCAAAATTTATGGTAAAATACCCATAACATAAAGTTTACCATTTGAGCCATCTTAAGGTATACAATTCCTTGGCATTAGGCACCTTCATAGTGTTGCATAACTATCACCATTGTCTCGTTCCCAAACTTCCTATCATCTCAAAAGGAAGCCCTTTGCACATTGGGCAGTCACTCCCGTTCCCCCCAGCTCCTGGAAACCAGAATCTGCCTTCTCTTTCTATGGAATTGCCGCCTCTGGATGCATCATACAGTATGTGGCCTTTTGTGACTGGTGTCTTTACTTAGCATAATGTTTTCAAGTTCCAGCCACATCAATACTCCATGCCTCTTTATGGTTGAATAATATTAGTTGTATGGATATGCCACATTTTGTTTTTCCATTTATCTGCTCATGGACATTTAAACTGTTTCACCATTTGCCTATTGTGAATAGAGCTGCCGTGAAATTCATGTACACATTTTGTTTGAATACATGTTTCCAACTCTTTGGGGCATATACCTACAAGGGGAATTCTGAAACATATTATAATTCTGTGTTGAAAAACCACCAAACTACTTTCCACGATAACTATAACATTTTACATTTCCACTGGCAATATATGAAGGTTTCAGTTTCTTCACATCCCATCCAATACTTTTTATTTTCTCTTTTTTTAATTTATTATTATCATTATTCCTATTGCCCTCTTAGTGGGTATGCAATGATGCACTGTGGTTTCGTGTTTATTGACCATTTGTATAGCTTCTTTGGAGAAATCTATAGTCGAGTTTTTGCCCATTTTCTAATTGGGTTTTGTGGTTGAATTTTAAGAGTTCTTTATATATTTCCTTATCAGATATATAATTTACAGACATTCTCCCATTCTGTAGGTTTTCTTTGAACTCTCTTAGTAATGTCCTTTAATGCATAAACGTTTTTAATGTTGATGAAGTCCACTTTATCTGTTGTTTTCTTCCTATGCTTTTGATATCATACATAAGAGCATAAGAAATCCAACAGAGCCTAATAAACTTGTGGTTGACACCTCAGGTACACAAGAAATCCAAAGGTTATGAAGATTTGCTCCTATGTTTTTTCAAAGGAGTTTTACAGTTTTAGCTCTTACGTTTAGGTCATTGATTCATTCTGAGTAATTTTTAATGTGCTGTGAGGTAGGGGTCCAGCTGTATTCTTTTACATATGGACATCTGCTTGTTACAGCACCATTCGTTAAAAAGACTATTCTTTCCCTATTGAATGTCCTTGGTACCCTTGTCAAAAACCAAATAGCCGTAGATGTGTAGGTTTATTTCTGGACTCTCAGTTCTGTACCATTGATCAATACGCAGTGCCACACTATTTGGTAGTCTGTAGTAAGTTTAGAAGTTGAGACGGTTCGTTCTTCAGCTTTGTTCTTCTAAGATTGCTTTGGCTGTTCAGGATTCCTCGTAATTCTGCAGGACTTGAGAATTTTGGCACACCCGCACGCATGTGCTGGTGCACTTGACGGAGCTCCACAAGCCTCTTAGGCTCTTGGGCTCTCTTCATTTTCTTTCATTCTTTGTTTTCTTTCTGCTCCTCAAACTGGATCATTTCATTTTACCTCTCTGCAAGTTCACAGATAATTTCTTTTGCCTGCTCAAATCTAGGCCAGTGAAGTGACTCACGCCTGTAATCGCAGCACTTTGGGAGGCCAAGGCAGGCAGATCACTTAAGGTCAGAAGTTTGAGACCAACATGGTGAAATCCCATCTCTAATAAAAATACAAAAATTAGCTAGTCGTGGTGACAGGCACCTGTAATTCCAGCTACTCGAGAAGCTGAGGCAGGAGTATTGCTTGAATCTGGGAGGCGGAGGTTGCAGTGAGCCGAGATCACGCCATTGCACTCAAGCCTGGGTGACAGAGCAAGACTTCATCTCAAAAAAAAAAAAGAAAGAAAGAAAGAAATCTGCTTTGACATTCTCTAGTGAATTTTTTAGTTCAATTGTGCGTTTCAGCTCCAAAATTTCTATTTGGTTAGTTTTTGTAATTTCTGTCTCTTTATTGATATTGTCTATGTGTTGAGACATTATTCTCCTGGTTTCCTTTTTTTCCATGGTGTTTTGCTTTTCGATTTTTGTTTTCTCTTTAAGCATGTTTAAGATAGTTTATTTAAAGTTGTTGCCTGTGACTTTAAGGCAGAAACTTAAGGTAAATATATTTCATGTGATGCCTCAGGGACAATTTTTGTTGATTCACTTTCTTTCTCCTGTAAATGGGCCATGTTTTCTTATTTCTTTTTGTGCTTTACATTTTCTTGTTGAAACTAGGCATTTTGAATATTCTGATGTGATGACTCTGCAATCACATTCTCCCCGCTCTAGGATTTGTTGCTTCTTGCTGCAGGTTGTAGTTGCTTATTTGGGGACTTTCTAAACTATTTTTGTAAAGACTCTTGGTCTTTGCTGGTCTCTGAAGCCTCTATACTTTTAGCTTCGTCATCAGCTGGTTGTTTGACAGAGATTTCCACAAACACCTGGAGCAAAAGAGATAAAAAAAAACTGAAAGGAAAAAAAAAGTACTCTCTCCAGGCCTTTGCAGGCTGGCTCTGTGTTGGAAGCACTCCTTCAGTGCTTAACCAGAGTGTTTCCAGCTCTGCCTTAGCCCTCGCTGCCTGCTTGTGCTGAGCCCAAAGAGCAGCCTGAGAGAAGAGCTTGTGGGATTCTCTGGTCCTTTCTGCCCTGAATGTGCGCCTGGATTCTAGGTTCCACATTTCACGTAAGGGTTTCTTGAAGCCCTTATTCTCCGGGATTCTTACCCCCAGCTTTTCCTCACGGGCTATCAGAGAGCCTGTTGTTTGCCTCAGCTGCCAAGTGTTTCCTGAGCTGGCTGCAGCTTATACATTCAGCTTCCAGCATGTCTGCAAAACCACTTCTCAGCCTGAGAAATCTGAGTCTTTTGCCCAGAACCCACAGAAAATTCAAAACAAACACAATTCCTTGGGTTTATGAAATTCCTCCAGGACCAGATACTCACAATAGGAACATGGGCTTCTGTCTTCAAAATGACCAGCATGTTGGGGCAGGCTGGGGCAAATGTGAGCTACATACAGCATGCTCTCTGCCTATTCAGGGCCTTTCTCCAGGTTAAGGGTTCACTGGGTTGCCATAAGCCTTTGAGTATCTTCCAGGGCTCTGGGCTCTGGTTGATTCCAGCAGTTTTTCCTGGGTTTTTTAGTGTTTCCTTAATGGTCCCTATGTCACCATTTTCACCGACCTCTTCGTTAGGATTTTAACCATTTTTTTAATTGTTGACAGGAAACTTCTTCTCGAATTCAATATGTATTTGCAAAAAACATTTCTTCAGCTCATCCAATTTATTATCTCAAAAAAAAAAATCTTAACAGAGCTTTTTCATTTTTCTCTTCCACAGCAAATTGTGGTTGCCATTCATGGTTAAATTTGCTTCATGCCCTCAATTCTTTTATTTCTCTGTGTTTCTCTGGTCATAGTATGAGTTTCTCATCTCTACCTCATTCTGCACCAGTAGTATGCCTTCATTTTTAATTTTAAAATTTGCCCACAGTTGTTTCTTAAACTAGAAAAATAAGTATTCTAATTAAAATAACAAGTGTTTCCATTTTATAACTAAGTATGATTTACGCAAGTATTACTATAATTCATGCTGCCTTCATAAGTATTCATGTTACAGTGTTCCATTCATGTAGAGATAAAAATCATTCAACTCAATCTGTCACTATCAGTTAGACCCGTGGCATACTGAGGTCAAGTGCTAGGCAGAGCACATGCACCCGTGACACACACACACAACGCAGCGCCATGCGTGACGTAGCAGCTACAGTGAGAGATGGTGCCCCCAAGACGAGAAAGTGACGTGTAATGGAAACAGAGCTTATACTGCTTCCATTTTAAAATTTAATTAAAAGTAAAGAAAATGTTAAACGCAGCCCTTACGTTCTGGGTTGAACTCACCACATTGCAGTCTCCATTGCTCTGTGTAGCTCATGGAAGCTGACTGGAGAGCACAGGCCAAGAGGCACGAAGAGTTGAGAGTCACTGTGGTGGGAGCAGGGGAGGCACCGGCCTGTGGTCTGACCCACGCCAAGCATCCGCCATGAGGGCCATCAGGGGTGATGTACAGAGCCCAGGCAAGGCCAGGAGGCCACGGTGTCAGTCCAGGTCCAGAGACGGGCTCTCAGGTGATCCCAGAAGGTTTGGTGTGGGGCCTGCCTTCCACAGCATTAGTGTGACTAGGAGAAAATCAGCTTTTTAGAAAAGGCAGCTTTTCTCACCTAACAAAGGAAGTTATGCATCAACTGGAGTAAGACCTTCGAGGGCCAGGTGTTAATCAGTTAGCTGAGGACAGGCTGATGCTGCCTCCTCGCTCAAGGTGGAAGAGTCAGAGCAAAAAGGAGACTCAGGGACAGAACAGGAGAAGCAGGAGAGAAGCAGTCCTCAGCCTGAGGGCCCGTGAAGCCCAAGCCCCTGAACGCCAGACGTACTGGCCACTCAGCCTCCACACCTGCGACACGGGCCCCTGCCCTGGCAGGCCCTGGACTGCGTGCCGCTTGGCTTATGCTTTTACCGTAAAATCCTTTTCTAGGAATCTAACCTAAGGAAATAGTACAAGATAAGGGAAAAGATGTATGTGCAAAAATATTTATCATTTATTATTTTACTTTTAAATTCTTCTTTAGAGACAGGGCCTTGCTCTGTGGCCTAGGGCGGAGTGCAGCGGCACCATCATAGCTCACTACAGCCTCAAATTCCTGGGCTCAAGTGATCTTCCTGCCTCAGCTCCCAAAGTTCTGAAATTAAAAATATCACAATGCAAAACAAGAAACTTAAAGATACAATGATAGAGGAATAAATAAATGATTCACTTCCATAAAAAGAAAACAACTTTAAGATTAAAACCACCTAGGTGATTATTAGGGTGTTTCCAAAATCAGTGTTGATTCTCTCTCCGTCCCTCCCACCCTTCCCCCCTTTCTCCCCGCTCCTCCACTTCAGGAAGCTGCACTGCACCAGGAACTACATCCACCTGAACCTGTTCCTGTCCTTCATCCTGAGAGCCATCTCAGTGCTGGTCAAGGACGACGTTCTCTACTCCAGCTCGGGCACATTGCACTGCCCCGACCAGCCATCCTCCTGGGTGAGGCTATCCCCACCACAGGGTCCCACCCTCTTGTCCCTTTGTCTCTGTTCCACCTTCTCACGATGACGATGTCTCAGTGCTGGCACAGGGTCTCTGTCAGGACACAGGGTCACAGCTGAGAAACAGAGAGATTGGCAGAGAGGCTGGGGCCAGAGCAGGCCCTGTCAGCAGCTGAGACATGGGGGTGGTGCTGAGGCAGGAAGTGTGGGGGGTCCCAGGCGCCATCAGGGCTGGGAAATGAAAGGGCCCTGAGCCCTGACCCCCGCAGCCCTTGCCTGAAGAAAACCACACCCTTCCTCACACACATCTGGGTTGGGAAATCTTGGCACAGATGAACACACACAACTCTGTTGCTTTCTATCTGAACCTCCTAGATTCTGAGCCGTAAATGCTTCCTTCCAGACTGCTGGAAGAACTCGCTCTGTGTCACAGGTAAATTCCGTGCAAACCCTGATTGTGAAGCCAGCTGCAGGTCTGTGAATATCTTGGGTCTAGCTCTTTGATATGAGGATAATCTTCATTATTACTTCCTATAAATGCAGTACAGGGTGTTTCACTCCACCCAGGCCCTTCTCCCTTGGCTGTATTTGTGGTGGCTCTTGGTGGTTATTTAGCACCTAATCGAGTCAGTTTAACACAGCAAGTGCTGTTGAGTGCCTCCTACGGGCAGGTCATTCTACCAAACACATCCCTGCTGGCCCAGAGCACGCCACATGCTCGGCATCTCTGAAGGATTCATACCCCTGGTACCTCACTCTCGATCTGAGACCCTCGCTACCAAGGTTCTGAAGGAGCCAGGAGTGCCGAACTGTCCTCCCGCATTCCACGCAGATAGGCCCGTAAGCTGGCACAGTTGCTCAGTCTGAACAGATTTGAATTAACTTAGTTTTAAGATAGTAAAGCCCTTTATAACTGCACAGACATCAGCTGTTTCGTAGGCTGTCGTCTTCATGCAGAAAATGTGGTTCCGGGGATAACCTGGTGCATTATGCATGTGAATCAGATCTGCCGTGATAACAAAATGAAAAACAAGATTTTTCACCTGGCAAACCCCTGTGCCCAGGTGCAGTTGGGGCCCTGGAGTTCCTGTCCTGGGACAAGGGCCTCCCTACATGTGTAACCGTGGTAAAAGCCCATAAGAAGTATTAGGACAGTGTCAGATTCTCTCTCGCCAAGATGGTTTCAAGCTTGACCTGCAGATCTCCATGCCCTTAGCTCTTCATGAAGAAAGCAGTCACCCTTGACAGATGCTTGACGGACACTCAGAGGAACACTGGGACCCACGACAGACCCTCGATGGACCTATGACATCGAAAGCAGTGACCCACGATAGACCCTCGGGACCCGTGACACGGAAAGCAGTGACCCACAACTGACCCTTGACAGACCCTCAGGACCCCCGACAGACCATCAGGACCCATGACGAAACCTCAGTGGACCCTGACGGATCCTGGAGGACCTGCGACATAGAAAGTAGTGGCCCTTGACAGACTCTCAGGACCTGCAGCGGACCCTCAGCAGACCCCACAACATGGAAAGCAGTGGCCCTCGACAGACCCTTGGGACCAGTGATGGACCCTCAGCAGACCCTCAGTGTAGAAAGCAGTGACCCATGACAAACCCTCAGGATCCGCAACAGACCCTCAGTGGACCCCAACAGACCCCAGAGGACCTGCGATGTAGAAAGTGGGACTGGGTGCCGGTCTGGAGCAGCTCTACTCTCCCCGCCGCTTCAACCTGAGAGCAACGCCCAGAATCTCCGAACCAGGGCAGGTTTGAGCCGGCGTGGCTGCCCCGGTGAGGGGCTGGCCCCGTGTCCGTGGCGTGGAGCCTTCTCTGAAGGCTGGACTGTTTCTGTGGACACCATGGGTGAACACTCATTCGCCTTTAAAAGAGCAGTTGCCCCATTTCACAGATGAGGCAACAGAGCTGAGGGAGACCCAGCAACTGGCCCAGAGCCTCGGGATCCAAAGCCAGGAGCACGTGGGGCCCCACAACATCCAGCAGCGTGGATCCCAGCTCCTGGAGTTGAGCTCTGTGAGGACAGAGGGAGGCGGCTTTGCCGCTTATGCCAGGTGCCCCGCGACGCCTGTACCAGCAAGGGGAAACAGAGGCAAAGGGAAGGTGTGCAAGCAGACACAGGAGGGAGGGGACAGCGGCCAGAGGGAGGGGAGGCGCCTGAGGCCAGATAGAAGGTGAGCTGGGTCTTCCCTCTCACTGTCCCCTAAAGAACGCTCAGACTTTAAGTAAACAAGTCAGCCAGAAATATAGTCAGACCTCAGCATAAGGAAAGGGAAAAATATCTTTCCTTCCGGTTGCATTTTTTGGATTTTTTTTGTTCCCAGCTGGCTTCACTAAACCAAGATTGTTCTCCCAAGCAGAACACCTGGGGCAGCTCCCCCAAAATAGGTGCAGGGTCTTTTTCTCAGAACATTAGGATCAGCCAAAAACATGAAAAGTTTTCCTCCTGGCCCCTTCCACGTGGTCTAGACAGAGACACAGTTTCCTCTGGGGCCTTGGGCTGCCCCAGGCATGGAGCAAACCTGCTGTTTATTCTCACAGGTTCTATGGAACTCCCAGAAGCGCACCCCCAGGCTCACTAAGTTGAGTCCTGCCTGCCTGACATGCATGTGTGCACCTGTGTGTACTCACACTCACACAGAGGCTCCCGACAAGGCCACAGCGCTGAGGAGGGACCAGCTGCTGACCGGGCAACGGGCCTTGATACGCCTCCTGGCCAGGTGTTCTCACATCAATGCTGTGGGTGGTAGCTGGCCCTGGAGGACCCCTTGTGGCCTGCCGGGTCCCTCCTGCTGCGCTCTGGAGCCTGTGTGATGTGGTTTGAAGGTCACGCTGTAGAAGATGAAGTCCGTAGAGGCCTTGTCATTCACCAAACCTCCCGTGCTCACAGAATGTGCTTGTTTGGTGAATGGGACATGGAAAAAATGCAGAGATGTTTTTGTTCCCATTTTAGAAAGAAAATGGAATCTTCACACTCTTTCTGCATCGTCTTTGCCACTTCAGCAGGATGTCCCAGAGCCCCTCAGGCTGACGCCTGCTGTCAGACAAGACATTGCCCCTCGTGTGGCCTGACATCCTCCATGTAGCCCTTCCCCAGTGCGGGGCCTGCTCTGCACTTGATTTTTCTCTTTTGCCACTGCAGACGTCACTGGACCTGTGTCTTTATGGACTAGTGTTCTTATTTCTGTCGGGTGGGACTCACCAGTGAGGCTGTCGGCAGAGGTGTCTCCGTCCGGGAATGCTGCTGTCACAGACGGCAGACATTTACTTCTCAGCTCTGGAGGCCCGATATGGAGGCATCACCAGATTCGGGTCTGACTCCTCTCTGTGTCCTCACGTGGTAGAAGGGGTGAGGGAGATTCGGGTCAGGCTCACATGGTGGAAGGGGCAAGGGATATTGCTGGGGTCCCTTTACAAGGGCACTAATCCCATTACAAAGCTCCACCCCCACGACAAGACCCCACCCCGTGACAAGGTCCCACCCACTAACACATCCCACAGCAGGTGAGCCTTCAACACATTATCTTTTTGTTTTGTTTTGTTTCTTTTGTTTTTGAGACAGACCCTGACTCTGTTGCCCAGGCTGGAGTGCAGTGGCACGATCTCGGCTCACTACAACCTCCGCCTCCCAGGTTCAAGTGATTCTCATGTTTCAGCCTCTCAAGTAGCTGGGATCACAGGCAGGTGCCACCACACCTGGCTAATTTTTTTTTTTTTAAAGATGGAGTTTCATCACGATGGCCAGGCTGATCTTGAACTCCTGGCCTCAGGTGATCCACCCACCTCGGCCCCCGCAAAGTGCTAGGATTATAGGCGTGAGCCACCGCGCCCAGCCCGGCTAATTTTTTTTTTGTATTTTTAGTAGAGACAGGGTTTCACTATGTTGGCCAAGCTGGACTCGAACTCCTGACCTCAAGTGACCCATCCGCCTTGGCCTCCCAAAGTTTTGGGATTACAGGCGTGAGCCACCGCGCCCGGCTGCATGTGTATTCTTACATTGTAGTAAATATATTTTGCTAGATTGCTTTCCAAAAGGCTGAGACAGCTGACAGCTGCATTTAGGATCACACCAGAGCCCGGAGACCTGACTGGTTTTGCCGTTTTGCCTGTCTGGCAGGCATTGGCACTGCCTCTGTGGCTCTCACACTCACTCCGGGGCAGGGCACCTGCTGAAAAGAGGCATCTTTCCACAAGCTGTTCCGGCACTCCAAATACCACATTCATCTGTAATATTGGTGTTACAAAAATTAACCGTTTGTCACTTCCATTGTCAATATGTTTCCAAATTCATCATTTGTCAATTGTATTTTTATGGTATTTTTGCCATCTAAAAGTTTTTAAAGTTTATATAACCAAAAATTGCCTTCTATCCTTTTAGCATTTCTTGTTTTCATTTCGGATTTCCCATCTTGGTTAAGAGGTTTCTATTCTAAGATTGCTCATTTGTGTCTTGGTTCATCTGCAGTTTACTCCCCGTTGTGTTTAAGATCAGGTCTTTTACCGAGTGACAAGGCAAGCTGCATTCAGATGAGTCACCACATCCCAGAATCGCACTGCCCAGAGATTTTAAAACTTGATTTCATTTTATTCAAATGAGTGGCAATGAGTTACAAATTGACCTGCTGTGACTCTCTTGTGTTCATGGCTGTGTCATCATGTGTGTCTTTCCATGTAAGAGGCTCTGTCCTGGTGCCCAGGGCAGAACTTGCTGGGATCTGAGTGTCCATTCAGCAGGTGTTGACACTTGAGATCCGCGTGCAGGCACTCGGCTTGCCCTGGTAGCAAAGACAAACAAAGGGTAACTCTCACCTGTGCACTGCCTCAGACAATGAAGCACCTACCCTGTTATGCTTAGGAAAAGGAAAAAGCAGACGAAGGCAAGGAAGATCCGCAGCACTGGGGAGGTCGGGGGCAGCCTGCAGGGCTCAGCAGCTCTCAGGACCCTGGAGGCCAAATTGAAAGGCCACTACATGAACGTATATCGACCCGTATATGTGTATAAGTATATCCACCCTTATATAAGTATATCCACCCATATGTATGTAAAAGTATATCCACCCATATGTATGTATAAGTATAATCCATCCATATATATGTATGGGTATATCCATCCATACATGTGTGTAAGTATAATCCACCCATATATAAGTATATCCACCCATATATATGTATGGGTGTATCCACCCATATATATAAAAGTATATTCACCCATATGTATATATAAGTATATTCACCCATATGTATGTATAGGGATGGCCATCTGATATATGTGTATATTATATCCACCCATATGTATGTATATTCACCCATATATATAAGTATATTCACCCACAAATATGTATAGGTATATCTCTCTGACATATATATATATATATAGCATATCTGCCTGTACATATGTGCTTCCTACATATGACTTTATAGATATATATGAACATAAATATAGAAATAAGAATGGAAATGAAAATACTATCTTTTTTCAGCATACTTTATATAAGCTCAGTGATTAAAAGTAGCAGTTTCATGTTTGCTCATGAGGCTGAAATGCCTGGTACATTTAGTTAGAAGAAGGTCTGAGAGATTAAAATAGATTTATTTTATTTGTTCTTTCCCAGTGAAAATCCTCTTAAAAACCTCCTCAGAAAATATTTTATTTGCCAGATTTCTCGTTTTCCCATTTTTTAAGGTTTAATTAGGTTACCTAACATTAAAACCAGTTTTTTACAATTGAGGAACTTACAGGTTGTCAAAAATTTAAAAGAAAATTTGGGGGCCTGATGTGGGTCCATTGTTTTCTCTTCCCAAGCGCTGCTCACGTGAGCTGCTAGTGAGGGAAGCTGGGAGGTGCTGCACCCTCCACCTGCACTCGTGCTCGAGGGCAAGGGGCTGTGCCCTAAGACCCTCCAGCAGTGAGTGCGCTCCTGGCCCTGCAGCAGTGAATGAGCTCCTCTCAGGGAGGGCTGTTCACAATTGCCTCTGCCGAGTTTATCTTCCAGTGATCTTCCCCTGGAGCCGCGTATACACAGGGCCTGGTGCTAATGGAAGGCATTCCAGGCCAGCACCCTGGCAGCTATGTTAATTCTGTCCCAATAGCACCTGGTGTCTCCTCCTTCCTTGCACAGATACCAAGCACCCTGTATCCTGGAGCGGCCTGCTGTGAACTGTTGTCACCTAATTGGGTCCTGCTGTCCTCTGTTTGCGATTTCCAGGTGGGCTGCAAGCTGAGCCTGGTCTTCCTGCAGTACTGCATCATGGCCAACTTCTTCTGGCTGCTGGTGGAGGGGCTCTACCTCCACACCCTCCTGGTGGCCATGCTCCCCCCAGGAAGGTGCTTCCTGGCCTACCTCCTGATTGGATGGGGTAAGCGTGCCCCTTCCCACCCACAAACCCCCATCCCATCTGACCAAACAATGCAAGCTTTTTCAGCTCAGGAAAATGCTTTGCTGCCCCCATAGAATGCATGTCAGGGTCATGTTATGAAGAGTTTTTCTAGGATGACTGGAGGCTCCTATGAACAAGTTAATATTTCCGGTAACCAGGACCTAGTCTAAAATGCTCCCATTCATGGCCCCTTTGACCCCAATTCAAATGAGGCTGCTAACAAGTAACAAAACAATTTCCTCCTCCCACCTCTACCTGGTTCAGCTTTCACTGAGGGTGGGGATCAGAGAGGAGAAAAGTTAACCACATCAGGAAGTGGAAGTCTTGCCTTGTCCAGGGTTGGAAAGGGGTACAAATTTGGGGCATCCTCATGGAGGGGATGAGGCAGATGCAGCCAATAGTTCCTTGGGTGGCCACAAAATCAGTGTACACATCTCCTTCCTGGCACATTTACCTCCGTGGCCTCCAGTAATAACATTTCCTGTGCAGAATGGCAAGTCTCAAAGTGTCGTCAGACTCTCAGCTCTCAAGCGTGTGTGTAATTATCTTCACTGCTTACTAAGGCATGAGCACAAACTTGTAAATATTTACAAAGACTTTAAACAAGAGATTGCACTTCGTATTCCCGTGAGAAAGCGTGTCCTTGAGGGTACTGCTGGTGAGGGCACCCATCTGTGTGCATGCGTGGCTCCGCTCTGCCTGTGTAACCAGGCGTCTCTCCGCAGGCCTCCCCACCGTCTGCATCGGGGCATGGACTGTGGCCAGGCTCTACTTAGAAGACACTGGGTGAGTCCATGCCCAGACCGTGGCCTCAAAAATGGGCATGGCAGCATCTGGCAACATGAAGTCCTTTGGAAGCCAGAAGGTCACCTGGTTGGAAGGACAGGGAGCATTTGCGGGAAGCATCTGGGAGATTCTTGGGGAGGAATGCTGTGAGGTTGGAGTGTTTGGAGGAGCCCATGTGGGAGACAGAAAGTGAGCCAGGTTTTACAGCGCAGTTGAGATTGGGACCAGCCAGGCAGAGACTGCTGCAGCCCCTTTGGTGGGCACAGCAGTGTCCACAGAAGAAAACCAAGTGCCCTGCAGGTTGTTTGAAGTGTGGAAGTTCAGGTGATGGTGCTGAGGGCACCTGGCACTTCCTGCACATTGTTTGAAGTGTGGAAGGTCAGATGATGGTGCTGAGGGCACCCGGCACTTCCTGCACGCTGTTTGAAGTGTGGAAGGTCAGGTGACGGTGCTGAGGGCACCTGGCACTTCCTAAGTGCTGGTCCTGGCCCATGCAGCCCAGAGCACTTCTGCCCTGTGCTCACCCTGAGTGAGACTGTGGCCCAGATACCAGCACACATGACTCCAGCACAAATATCCTGCCTCGTAAAGGGCCTCAGTGTGCATCAGGTATCCCCTGCTAGTAACGAATCACTCCAAAATTTGGTGGTTTGAAACACCTGCCTAGTCTAGTTACTATGTGATTCTGTACCTGACGACTTGGGAGGACTCAGCAGGGGCACTTCTGGCCTTGAGGACTGGCCCCCCCTTGGTCCCCTTCAGCCAGCTGCAGGCTTGGGCCTCTTGTTCCTCTTCAGGCCAGTCTGAGATTGCACCGCCTGGAAGACTCCTGCCCTCAGACTCTGAGGGAGCTCATGAACCCGGGCCTGTGATGGAGATTCTGCTCTGTGGGAGGGCTGCGGACTCCTAGGACAGGGAGTGGACCCTGTGGGGGAATCACTGAGGCATTTTACCAGCCAGGGGTCACAGCTTCCTGCTGGAGACACCCCATGTGCCACGAGATGGAGAGCTGGCGGCTCGCCCACCTCAGTCATTATAAGGACATTTTGAACCGTTTGCCACACACATGCACACCACTTGGGAGGTGGAGGGAAGCTAATTTTCAGGAGGAAGGTTCTTTGCTCATGACGTTGGCTGGATGGGGCCAACACACGCATTCATGCTCAGAGAGGAGGGCTTCGACGCCACCCTGCCTCGTCGGCGCCTGTGGGACCGCGTCTGTGTCCCTCCTCCCTATAAGCAGACTATCATTTTGAGATGCATAAAATGAAACACAATCACTCACTAGGACAGACTCCTTTACGATCTGTCAGTGTAGAGAAGTGACGCTTCCACGGTGTGGGGAGCGGGCACATTGGGAGGGGCAGGTAGCCCACAGGCAGGCGCAGGCGTGAAGCAGGCCTCATTCTCCCGTGCCCCTCTTATGAGAGAGGTCGGTGGTCACCTGATTTCCCATCTTTCTCTCACACAGTTGCTGGGATACAAACGACCACAGTGTGCCCTGGTGGGTCATACGAATACCGATTTTAACCTCCATCATTGTAAGTAGCCCGTTGAAATGTGGATTATCTGCGCAGTCGCACAGCTGGGCAGACAGCAGGCCCCCTATCCTTTATTAAATAGAAATGACCCGTTCCACTCAGCCATCCCAGAAAAGGACCTCTTGAGGCTGCGGACACCCAGAGGCAATTCCCAGGAAGGAGGGAGGGACTGCGGGAGGAGGGGAGGGTGGAAATCAGGTGGACTTCAGGGAGGTTAGGTCTCTGTGAGTCAGTTTCACAAACTTTTTATCTCTTTTGGGCAGGTCAATTTTGTCCTTTTCATCAGTATCATAAGAATTTTGCTGCAGAAGTTAAAGTCACCAGATGTCAGCGGCAATGACCAGTCACAGTACAAGTGAGTGTGTGTCCGCCTGGCCGCCCTGGTGGGGATGCTGTGCGGAAACCCCCCAGAGCTGCCAGGAAGCCCTTGGAACCATGGTGACTATGCCTCACCTCGCAGCTGAGCCCCAGGACTCTGCTCCTGCCCAAAGCTCAGAGAGGCCCTGGGCAGCATTTCCCTGGTGACTGTGAAAGTTGCCACCCTTTCTTTTATTTCAAGGCCAGGATAAAGTCCTCTTTAGTGAGCTGGCTTGTTTAAGCTTCTGCCCACTTGCATGTTATACAATCCGTCTTCTCTTTGGCCACAGATTATTTTGATTTTACTTTTAATTCTGTCTTCCCGCTCAGACCACGTGGTCCATGTCCATGTGTCTACTGCCAGCCCTAATACCAGGCCTTGTAGTTAGTAATTCAGAATGAGTTTCCTCCCTGTGTGATTACATGACATGGCATCGTGATTGCCCTTAAGTAGATGAAGACAGGGCAGACGTTTTACCCCCAGTCATCCAGCTAATTCACAATGATGTGGGAAATCTCTAAAGTAATGCAAAGACTCCATAAATTTATATCAACATTTATAAAGAAAAGGTAAAATCCAAAAATTCAAGTATAAACTAAGCACTGGCTTGCTGTGAAAATGGCTGGCCCAGCCAGAAGGCACCTCGGGCTCAGAATGACTGGGGCTGGAAGGGTGGCTGTGCTCAGAGCTCCTCTGTGGCAAAACCCTGCTACCCAAGCCAGGAGGGTGCCTGGCCTGCGTTTCCCTTTACTCCTGCCTTAGAAAACAGGATGGATTTGGGGAGGGACAGTTAGGCAGGAGCATGGCCAAGAGCCCCAAAGCTGGGTGCAGATACTGCTGGTGCCTGAGGGAAGTCACTTTGCCACTCTGTGTCTCAGTTTCCTCATCTGTAAAATGGAAATCATAATGTCACTAACGGAGTCGATATTTGCCAGATATTTGCTGCCTGGCACCAGAGTATCGTGAAAGAGTTTGGTCAACCAAAGAATCGAATTCTGCCATATGGCATCTAAATCCAGGGAGTGTGCATCTCTGCCTGCCCACATGAGGGATGGGATTCCACGTCAGGCCCTGCGTGGCAGTGTGACCTCATCCCTGCTTGGGGGAGGCCGGTGGTGCCTGCCATGGCAGAGAAGCAGGAACGAAATTGTTCCTGGCCTTCAGGCAGAGCTTTGATTTCCTATGAATCTTGTGTAGTTTCTTGTTTAGTTCCTTCGTATTGGCTCTTTGGGAGTGTTTGTTAAATACACTTGGAGATGGATTATTTCATTTTGGAAACAGAATTAAGTGGGGACAATAAAATCTGTTCTCGGTCCAGGACAACAGAAAAGGCCGAGACACCCATGCGGCCACCAGAGGTCTTTCTGTGTAACTCTCTGGTCACGGAAGTAGCAAAACCTCCCTGGACAGGGCCAGAAGCTCAGCCACTGGGAGGCCTCTTTTCCAGCAAACTGCAGAAGAGTTAATAGTGTGAATTAGGTGGGTTCTCTGCTGCTGACTGAAAAGCCTGGCTCCCACGGAGCCCAGCTGCTATGAGCCACGGACCTGGGAGCAGGCATCAGCCTCATCATTTAAACGTGCACATGGCCATGGTGGAAGCTGGCCTTCTCGTCCCCTGTGGCACCCTCACCTGCCGCAGGATGGGCCAGGCGCCCAGGCAGGGCCCCTGCAGGCTGTGGGTCACTCACAAGGAATCTTGCCCCGGTAGCCATGAACCCTGGGGCACATGTCGTTGTGAGGGAATTTGGGAGAAATGAACACTTTCTGGAATGCATGTTCCCAGGTCCTGAGTGCTGGATCTGCACAGGGCCTCAGACATAAGCATAAAGGAGCAGTGGCTTTTCCTGCTAGCCGGCAACGCCAGCGGTGGAGAGGGGGTATGGAACCCCTCCCACACCCAGCTGCCCAGTCCTGAGCAAGACCCTGCCCGGCATGCAGAGGGTTCGTAGGCCCAGCAGCTGAGCTGGCCCCTCTCCTTCTGTGCAGGAGGCTGGCCAAGTCCACACTCCTGCTCATCCCGCTGTTTGGCGTCCACTACATGGTGTTTGCCGTGTTTCCCATCAGCATCTCCTCCAAATACCAGATTCTGTTTGAACTGTGCCTTGGGTCGTTCCAGGTAGGTGTGAGGAGGCGGTGGACCCCCCTACAACAAAGGGGGTCCTGCCTGACCACCCCTTCTCATTGCAGGGCCTGGTGGTGGCCGTCCTCTACTGTTTCCTGAACAGTGAGGTAAGTCCGTGGCTGCCTTGGAACCAGGCGCAGGTACTCAGTTGGTTCCTGAAATGCTGCCCAACCCGGGCTGTGGCCCCCACGTGCGCCTGTCTTCCATGGGCCAGTCCCACTGCCCAGGCCCCCATGGCTCTCTGTGTCCCCATCAGAGCCCACAGCGACACAGGCAAGCCCACTTTCTGGGCCCAGCTTCCAAACCCCCATCCCTCCGTCCACCCCAAGCACCATTGACTGCTGTCCTCAGAGCCTCTCAGGAAAGCTCCCTGACGGGTCTAGACAGAATCTGTTTTTCTCCCTGGTCAGCGTGTTGTTTGTGAGTCCCAGAAAGCCAGCACCTGGATTGGGGTTGGGGCTGCACAGCATTTCGTGAGTCCCTGTTGACAGAGCCGGCAGCTGAGCAGCGTCCCCCTGGCCCTCACCTGGCCACTCAGTTCCCACTCCCTCCAGCGTCTCTTCCCCAAGCCGTTTCTGTTTCTGTCCATCTGACAAGGACACAGATGTAGCCCCACTCTCCACATAGGGTCAGGCAGGAGGGAAAGCTGGAGGTTTGTGGGCCGTGCTCCTCAGAGTACACACACATCCCTGCCCAGGCTCACAGGTGCTCCCGGTGCTCTCACCTCCCCAGGTGCAGTGCGAGCTGAAGCGAAAATGGCGAAGCCAGTGCCCGACCCCGTCCTCCAGCCGAGATTACAGGGTCTGTGGCTCCTCCATCTCCCACAACGGCTCGGAGGGTGCCCTGCAGTTCTACCGCGGCTCCCGAACTCAGTCCTTCCTGCAGACAGAGACCTCTGTCATCTAGCCCGACCCCCGCCTGTGGACGCAGCGGGAGCCCATGGTCCTGGGGCTGACACAGGCTGATGCGGGCTGACACTGTCAGGCAGGTCAGCACGGTCCTCATGCAGTCAAGCTGGTTGTCCACCAAACCCCACACGTGGAACTGGGGTCGTGTTGTCATTGACTCGATTTAAACTCCAGCATTTGGATAATTTTGTTCAGCATGTGTTTCCGCCCTATAGTTGGATCCATTTTCGAAGAGAATAGGGAAGCCAAGAAGGAAATGTGGAAATGCAGTTGCAGGACCCAGCAAGGGCCTGGGCCACAGGTGACGTCCATGCCATTTCAGGGCAGCCTCCCAGGTCCCACAGGGCAGCCCCATCGTGTGCAGGACAGAGGGAAGCCGGTCAGGGACCCCCTGACATTAGGACCAGGATAAATCAATGAGAGGGCAATCTGCCCTCCCTCCTGGGGTTCCCACCTAGCCTGCCAGAGCCCTTCCCCACCCAACTCTTCCCACAGGGCCCAGCATAGCCGCCTCCACAGGGCTGTTCTGCCTCCCTATGGAAAGTGGGCTGAGGAGACCACCAGATCAAGAGAGCAGGTCATGAAGGAGGGGGTGCCCTCCACGTAGGTGTTGGGAGGCCCCTCAGCAGCCAGGGCTCTGCCTTGGGAGGTCACCTGCCACCCTGTGGGGGCCATAGAGCCCAACACTCAGCCTCAGGCCAGCCGCAGCCAGGCCTGCAGCCCCTGGTGATGGGGTCAGGTGGGCATGAGAAATAGCTGAATGGTAACCGGAAACCTATTATCTTTTTAACAAAAATCATCTTAGAATCATTTCTGTCTAAATGGAGAATTATTTTAACAACATATACAACTGTTTCAAGCCCTGCTCCCCAGAGCTGGTGCTAGGCAGCCCTAGCGGCTGTTCCGTGACCTGCAGACTTGGAGAGGGTGTCTGGGGACGTTGCTGAGCTGGCTGCAGAAGGGTAGGGACATCTGGGCGCAGTCTCCATGCCTGTGACATGCCCTGGTCCCTGCAGCGCCTGGCAGACCTCAGCAGGCCACCCATTCCTAGCCCAGGTGCCTCAACGGCGGGGCTGGGTTGTTCTGAGTACATCTGACTCTGCTTTTCCCCTTAAAAATGAACATCTTTTTCCCATGCCTTGGTGCCATCACAGACCCCAGCTGGAGCAAGGTGCCAAAGGTCAGGACAGCTGTGCTGGGAGGCGGCCACAGGGAAGCTCACAAATCCTGACAGCATCACCTTGGTTTGGAAAACCCACGTCCCCAGTAAAATGAGGCCAGACAGAGGGGCTGTTAGGATGGCAAACAAGCAGTGTCCAGAGACCCCTCAATCCCCTACGCTCAGCGCTCCATACTGCATGCCCTGGGCCTCACCAACCACGCCCCATCCTATATGCCCTGGGCCACACCAGCCACGCCCCATCCTGCACGTCCCGGGCCACGCTGGTCATACCACTGTATTGCAATGGACTCATCTCTGGACTTCTGGGGTGAATGAGCCCAAGGTTACTTTGGAGATGCAGGTGAGGCTGTCACAAGATCTAGAGAACAACTAACCCACCAATTGTGGGGGCTGCAGAGGCTCCATCAGGGACTGGTGGGGAGCAAATGACCCAGGGCAGGTAGCCAGGAAAGGATGGTGGAGTGTGTGGAGTGCAGTGAGAGAGAAGCAGGTGGATGCTGCAGACTCCAAGTTCAGTCCTGCCCATTGGCTACACCCTGCCCCTCTGCTGCTCCTCCCTGTAGGGTTTGGGAGACCCACCCCCAGCCTTGCCTGGCTTTAAAAGGACAAAGAGGGCCTCCCCTACCCACTCAGGGTTTTGAGGAAACAGATTTGTGGTAACTGAAGGTGTTGGGTCAGTGACCAGGTGTGGACACTGAGCTGTGACACAGAGGGGATGCAGAGGAAGTGGGCGTGGCCATCATGGTCAGGCGGTCACCGGGCACTGGTTGTGTGGCTCACTATCAGATGGTTGGGTGTGGGTGGTCATCAATCTTCAGGTAGGTGCAGGGGACAGTGTTCAGCAGAGCTGAGGACCGGTTCCTCCTGCCCGGTAGAGGGGCAGGCCGCCCGCTGTTCCTGGCAGATACCTGGTGAGCAGAGGATGCAGGCCCTAGCAGTCAGCAGGTGTCTTTAACTGTAGTCTTCTGTAGAATGTCTCAAACTCCTCCACGTGGCAGGAATGAGCTGTGTAAATACTTCAATAAAATCTGTCCTCACATCTGCACGCTGAGTAAGAATTTGCTCTGACCAGACCTGAGGCCCTGGGGCACAGAGGATGCGTTTGCCATGTTCACTGTGGCTGCTGCATTCAGATGAAAACAGAGCCTGAATGGGGAGGGAGAAGGTGGGCAGGGCCCCGCCAGCCACAGTGTACCAGGGAGGATGTTGGAAACAGCCACCCATCCCTCAAGACAGTCATGGGCCCCTGTCAGAGCATCGCCATTGGGGAACCTCCATCTGGCAGCTGACAGGTGAGCAGCGCCCTGGGTAAGAGGCCCCTGCACACCCAGCCTTGTCCCACCGTGCCCGACACAGCCTCTGTCAGCTCTGAAGAGCCAAGAACCTGTTAATAGAGCAGGACTGAATGCAGGAGAGTGTGTGTGTGTGTGTGTGTGTGTGTGTGTGTTCGTGCAAACAGTCCACATGTGTGTGTGGGTGTGTGTGGGGTTGGGTGTGCACGCCTGTGTGTGGGTGTCTGCATGTGTGTGTGGTGTGCACATATGTGTGTAGGTATCTGCATGTGTGTGTGAGCATCTGCATGTGTGTGGGGGTGTACACATTTGTGTGTAGGTGTCTGCATTGTGTATGGGTGTCTGCATGTGTGTGGGGGGTGTCTACATGTATGGGGTGGAGTGTACACGTGTGTGTGGGTGTCTGCACGTGTGGGGGGGTGTCTGCATGCGTGTGAGGGGTGTACACGCGTGTGTGCCTGTATGCACACACATATGTGAATCTCTGTGTGTGCTGAGCCTTAGTCACATTTATGCTACAGGCAAATAAAATCTATTTCTAATGAACTCCATGCTCTACCAAATGGCTGCGTTGTCAGGAGGAATATAGCACATGGCTAAAAGCCACGTCCCCAAGGAGTCAAACCTAGAGTGAGCCAGACCAACCAGACTTTGCTGACTTTCCTAAGAGCAGAGCAGGTGGGAAGGGGGAAGGGGCTTGGCACACAGCCCTCCAGGGAGCACACACCCCTCCAGGGAGCACATACACCTCCAGGGAGCACACACCCCTCCAGGGAGCACATACCCTTCCAGGGAGCACATACCCCTCCAGGAAGCACATGGCCCTCCAGGGAGCACACAGCCATCCAGGGAGTCAGTTTTGTCTGACTCAGAGGGGCTTAGTACCCATTTGCCTGAGGTGGGAAAATATTCCAGCTGCTGGAGGAGACTCAGCCCTGATGGGAGGGTGGAAGGTGCAGGCCGGGGGCCACGCCGAAGCAGCTCCTCCTCCATCCACAGGAATAGGTTTGTCCATTCTCATCACAAATGGCAGCTTTTTAATTGGCTATTTTTTTTCAGGCTTTCAGGTGACAGAAATTATACAGGAAAGTTATAAAACTTCGAACTCTGTGCAAAGATTACACAGAAAGTGAATTCCTCCGCCAGCCTCCCCCCTCTCTGGGGAAAACTCATGCCCGCCCGAAGCAGGGTCCCAGTGCCTTCCTCCATCTGACAAACCATCTCCCTCCTGCCCTTTCTTCTGTTTCTTCGTGGGAATCAGGTTAAATTGTGTAAACCTTCTGCAGCTGTCTTTCTCTGAGACAGCTCCTGTCCATCTTTCCCATCTGAACGTGCACATCTCCTGAGATTTAACCGCTGCATGATATTCCACAGCCTGGCCTTGGTAGGATTGAATTCCTGCTGGTGAGCGTGTGAGTTGTTCTGTGTTTACCCGAGTATTCTCTCACCGTACACTCCTGAACGGGGAGAGGTTAAAGGGCACGCACATTTGCCTCAGGATGATGTTTGCTCTACGGCTCCCCTACCCTCACCAAGCACCCTGTGGGGCGTGGGGTACATAGGAAACACTCACTTCCATTTACGTGTCTTGAATAGTTTCTTCACAGGTTTTTTCTTTAACTCTGAGCCTCTGCCTGACACACATCGAAGCTGCCTACGTCTCCAGGGGCCACCTGGCACGTCTGTTCACGTGCCAGTTCACAAAGTCACTCCTGTTCCTGGGACCCGGGCTAAGGGCGGGAGCTGGCAGCTCACAGAGGCCAGTTGCTGTCTGCAGGTGGCAGAGGCCGGCAGAGACGTTGCTTTGTGTCAGCGCAGGCTGCTTGTGGGCCGACATCACAAAGGATTTAGGGCACCTTTTATACTGAAAAGTGTTCTTTGGAAGATGGAGAGAAAAAGGGCTCTCACCTCCTTTGTGTTCTCTGAAGGTTTAATGAGGAGAGAGGAGCAGGCGGCAAGGGCGGCGGGGGGCCCACTTGTTCCAACTGTGGAAACAGACCCTTCCCAGGACACCCCGCAGGCCCGTGAAGCAGGCGCCCCAGGGCTGTTAAGGGGATGTTTTCTAAGCTGCTATTCAGTACCTGGAACTGAAGAAGCAATAGGGAAAATAAACTACTATTTTAAAATATAATACAGAACAATGAGACCTGGTGGGACCAAGCTCTCCCTTTGAGATTCTGGGTGCTACACGGCCTGACGCGTGCAGTTCCATGTGATAAAGTCTAAGAGAGCCATGCATGAACAGGGCACCTCAGAAGCACAAGCTGTCATGGTTTAAATGCTACAACTATGAATCCGGATGTTAAATGTGTGACTTCCCGATCACTAAATAATTCTGTCCCTTCGGATTTAAAAGCATGCAAACCATGAAGCCCCACCATCCCACAGCTCAGAGTTGTGCAGATTTTCAAACGGCTTAGACAGATCACAGTCTCCCAAACCCGTCAGCATGTGGTGGAGACCTGAGTGTTCATTCCCAACTCTAGAGAAGCTGGAGACGCTGGCATGAGCCCCAAGCCTCCAGTCTCTGTTTGGAGTTATTATGAAGAGTCCCAGGGAAGGGATAAGAAGGAAGCCATGAGAGGACAGGATTTCCCTCAGCCAGGCAGCGAGGACAGGTTCAGTACAACAGGAGGCAGCAGAGTGGAGCTACAAGCAGGAGGCAAAGGGGAAAGGTCACCAGGAGCACCCAGGACCCAGGCGCAGCCTCCAAGCTGTGCAGAAAACAGCGGGAAGGGGTCAGACCTGCAATCTCTCTTGATGCATTCGTTCTTTTGATCACACCACTGCCCTGGGAATAAGGCCGGCGGCCTGTGGCTCCAGGAGCACCTGTGGTGGTCAGCCACACCCAGGCTGCACTGTGTTCCCCCGTCCATCCATCCGTCTGGCCACATGTGAACATTGCAAAAACAGCAAGGAATGCTCAGCAGGCATGCTGCCTCTCATCAGGGGAGAGATGAAGAGGAGAATTAATGCAAACGTAAGTCCACGTGCAGGGCTGTGCACAGTGAGTGCTGTGTTCCCAGGGGCATGCTCAGTTCCGTGGGGAGAAGCAGGAACTGCAGTGGCACCCTCAAGGTCACCCTGGAAGGGCACCTGGCGCCCTGTCTGTTGGAAGAGAAATGGCTTTCTTCAGAGAAATGGGAGCTCTTAAGGCTTTAAAGCTGGGGAATGACATGGTCCAAGCTGTGTTTTAGGGTTAACTTGGCAACAGCTTAGCAGTTGGGAAGAGGAGATGCCGATGGGTGTGGTCCGCAGGGGGTCCCGGAGTAGAGACAGTTTGTGAAGGGACGATAAAGTGGTCACAGGACACTGGAGTTGCCTGGCACCTGATGGCGATGCACCCTGCCGATGTGAGACCGCTACATGCCACCGACTGCCCAAACACCCAATGGGTGCCACAGCACACTGTAAAGTGGACTTTGTCCTTCATGCTGACGCTTCTCAGTGGCATTGCTGGGCATTTGGGCAGTGAGTAGGCATGCAGCCTTCTCGTGTCAGAGGGCACAGCAGCACTTTAGGGTACGGGACAGCCACGGCGGTCTCACAGTGGTGTAGCTCAGGGTACCTGGCAGCAGCAGGGACAGCCACCTTCAGGCACTGCACAGCTCAACCTTAGGCCTGGCTGAGCTCCTGGAGCCCACTGGGCATTCCAGCCTGGGTCTAGCTGAACAGGTTTTATGTGAGTCAAACCCCACATCTCTGCCAGAATTCTATTCAACGCACTTAAGGGATATGCAGGGCTGTGAGCAGCCTCAGAAGGAGGGGTCTGTCCAGGAGAATGGCCCTGAGCATCGGTGATAAGGTTAAGGCCACACGACCAGCCCCAGGTTAGAGGCAGGAGAGCAGAGCGGAGGACAGAGCAGCCAGAGGGTGAGGGTCAGGGGGTGGCGGCTGCAGCCACACAGCAGCAGAGCACAGTGGCCGGGCCTGCAGAGCAGCATCACAGAGAGAGGGTGCTGGGTTGTCAGTTCAGTCCCATAAACCAAACCTGCTGCGTGCTCTATGTGGAGAGAAACAGAGGCCAGTCCTGGTGCAGCATGTGAGAACCTGCAGCTGGTGATATCCTCCAGGTGTGACTGTGGGCACAGCCAGAGGCAGGCATGGTGAGGTGGGTCAGGAGCAGCATCTATATCAGGTGTGACTGTGGGCACAGCCAGAGGCCGGGCATGGTGAGGTGGGTCAGGAGCAGCATCTATATCAAGTATGATTGTAGGCACAGCCAGAGGCCGGGCATGGTGAGGTGGGTCAGGAGCGGCATCTGCATGGGGTGGGATTGTGGGCGAAGCCAGAGGCCGGGCATGATGAGGCGGGTCAGGAGCAGCATCTGCATGGTGCATTTCCCCAGCTGGGCTCTGTCTTTGGAGCCAGTGCAGATTATTAGCGGCAGCAATGAAGACCACACCTCCAGACCCTGTGAGGCCATCACTGGGTCCAGCTATGCTGGACATTGGCCCAGTGACCTCCCCAGCAAAATCCCATCTGATGACAGCCTTGCAGCAGCATGGAGAGTGCCCTTCACTCAGGCCATGATGTGAATGTGCCCTGGAGGTGGGCTATGTCAGGGCCCCAAGACCACTTTGTGTCCTAAAGATGGACATCATGGGGGCCTGACTCCAACTTCCCAGGGACCACTGTGTGCTCTGGAAATGGACACCATGAGGCATTTGACTATCAGTTCATCTGCACAAAACTCTCTATAGGCCAAAAGCCACCCGTCCTCCACCGCCCTCCTTTACCTTTTAATACGCTG